TACGAAATATCTTTTAAAAATAGTAGAAAATGAAACGTATATACAAGACTACTAGGACACTGTATAGAGAAGCGTGCGAAGTGGGGTGGCGCTGTCTCGTGTGCGCGGCGTGCGTGTGCCTCGGGACGCGCAATGGCCGCCGTGACCCGACGTACAGCGGTTCAGTGTCAATCGTCCTTAATTTTCCCGTTTTAATTCGCCGCTCCACGCCCACGAAAATGCGCGCTACCTCGGCGTGCATACAGTCGACGCGGCTCTGCGACACGGTGTACTTCGACGATTGTCAGTGTGTCCTCGATAACGCGGTTTCTTCGCGGATGTTCCAACCATCGCCGAGAACCGCCGTGGATGCTGACACGCGACCGTGCGTGTCGAAAAAGTGTGCAACCCGCTCTTGTGGATAATCGGTCGAAAAAACCGAGCCAGTGAACATGAATTCTCGATGTGTACCCCCGTCGGGCGGCTCTCGTGTCTCGTGAAAGTGGCCCCTTGCGGATCGCCTTCTCGACGGCCGATTTTTGCCCGCGAGAACAGTCTGCATCGAGAGGAAGTGTCAATTGACGGTTTAATGCGCGCGTTAAGAGACTGGATGCAAAGCAGTGTGCCCGGGCTGCGCGTGTTTTGTATTAAAGACGATTTTCTGACTTGTCACCGATAACTCGTGGTGCGAGAGGTGAGAATCACTGGCGGAGGCGAGCAACAAGTGGTCTTTGAGTGTCGAAGGATGGGAAAAGCTTGCAGTCAGCTTTGAACCACGCTTCGCCGACGTGTGTTTCCTATCGTGTGTTCACAGCGGGGAAAAAAAGGTGGTCTGCAACCAGGGTTCAAAGGGCAAGTATAATAACGAACGTTTATCGAGGCTAGAGTGTTAAACTTGTATCGTGCACTATTTCGAAGGAACGCAAATAAAGATTTGTCAACTACGCATTTGATGCATGCGACATATTTTCCCCTCGGAAAGTTCTGCGTAACGAGAGTGTCATTGTCGAGCTGCCGTGAAACAGGATACTGTTTTATCCGTCGTGATTTGCATTGCATTCTAACAACGTAATTATTAGAAACGCACTATTCATAATTATTTCGTAATATTGTTTCCCTATTTTATTTTATTTTTTTTGCGTTTGAATCAATGTATATTCCTTTTTTTCGTACGCATGCGCATGTGCTCTGTTACTTTCGAGAAAATCGTTCCGGGTACTGAATAATCTAACATTCATAGTTCGATGAGTAACGTTGGCATGCTGAGAGCTGATTTATTCGAATAACCTGCATAATGGACATGGAGCGTGGTCGTAATTATATCAAGGATGGTAGGCATAAAGTATCGAAGTATACTCTCACTCCGTGTGAGAATATAATTAGGAAGTAAACGTATCGGACTTTCCATCAGCTAATTTTTATGGATCCTGATAAAAAAAGCGTTACTGACATTTAATTCTGACCCGATTCATTGTGGTGCCGTAAATATACGAAACCTGATCAGGATATCTAGGAAAGCGGTTCCTGTACATTTTTAAACTGGATCAGGTTGCGCGGGAAATATGAAAAATAAATCTTAACAACCAGTTTGACAGTAACAGTTCAGATATATACAAGCGGAAATAAATCTCTAACTGAATAAATAAATTATCAATTCGTTAATTTACTTAAAAAATAACATTGAATAATAATAATAAATATATTTTTATTTTATTTTTTATAAATAATTTCTGAATGTATTAGTAGTTTCTTTTTTACTGCTCTCTTTGTGTCTTGGCTTTTTTAACTGCCCCTTTTACAGGTTTTATCGAGGTTTACTTTTTCTCTGCGCAATTTCTTATATTTCATTTTCATAATTTTGTTTCTTTATCGCATCTTATATACCATTTACATGGATAATAATTTAAGACCAAATTGAAATCGTAAAACTATTTCTTTCTATTTCAGTAAATTCGTTTAACCAGTTTTACATGATTTATTACATATTCTTAGAATCTAAATTTATAAAGTATATATAACTTAATAGCTTACAGTTATATAATGTGCGATGAATTTGTGAGAAAGACAAGAAATGATTTCAATAAATACGACTTGTTTTATCCAAATCATATTACAGAACATTATTAACACATTAATTTTATTCAAAGTACATCAAACAACTTTCTATATATTATTTACTTCAATTGCACTAGCTTTAACCATTATCTCCATATTTTCTTTTTGCTAATATATAAATATCGTTCTTAATAATTACGATCATTCGCAGTGTTATATAACATTTTACAATTGTTAATTATTTTCTAGAATTTTTCAAATTATCCTTAAATAATTATTACAGCTCGTGTATTTATATGCGTGCTTTATTTCCTTTAAATTCATAAGTATAATAAAATTAAATTAATAAAAGAAAATTAAATCGGTAAATTAATATAAGAAAATTAAATTAATAAATTGATACAATAAAAGAAAATAAAACTAAGATCCGTCGATTTATTCCTATCCTCTTTCTAACTCGAGAGCAAATAACTGTTCCATTTGAAATCGGTCACCCGGTAGATATCACCGTACCGCCACATAGTTTTCTACTTTTCACGCATTACTTGACAGCAGGCATCATGTATCATAGCACGTGCAGCGTGTAAAAACCGTAGAACAGACAGAGCACGACTATCCTCTAGTTACCAATTATTTGTATATTCATAAATTCAAAACGTATGATATTATTCATGATCCCTTTTCGCGCGATAATACGAGTTATCCTGCGGGATATATTCTTTTATTTCGCCATTGCCTCATATGTTCGTCGTTCATGCATCTGTTATGCGAAACGGCATTTAAAATGCGTTGCAACAATTGGCTCATCGCTCGCAAATTGATGCAGCGAGCGCTGCAATTGTTCTCTTGAAAAGAGTTTTATTCGAAAAAGGTCGAAATAGCAGAAACAGCGTCGGAACATATTAGAAATTATAACTATCGTTTCTAATTGCCATTATTAACGATTGCAAACATTGCGATAGTTATTTCTAATTATTATTAATTATTGCAATGTAATTATTATTATCTTGCAATACATAGTTATTACTATCTGTAAGTACTATTTTTGAAAAATAGATATATCAATTATACTAAAAAAACAATATCGATATCTATTCCAGAAAAATGGTGGAAAAAGTAATAAGAAAATGACATTAAGCAATATTGGAAGTAATTTCTATCTTATAAGATATTTTGAATTGCCTGTGTTAATATGAAGGGATGATACTAACGTTGGTAAATAAAAGAACGTTTTATTTATTTTTTTTGAATGATATACAAAGCAATTCGAAAATAATGTCAACAAGTACGACTTGTAATATTTATTATTATTTCTAATTATTACTGTTAAATAAGTATTCGATCGTTTTTTGGATTATGAATCTCTCAGTCTCTTCGTACAAGGAAGTTGTATAAAAGTTGTTTGGTTTGGGAGAAGAAACATAGCAATGGAAATTAATTTTTCTCAATTACGAGGTACAGAAGTATCAAGGCTGTTGGCTTCTTCTTTTTTTGTTTCGTAGACGAAATTACAGGCGTTTGTTAAATATGTTTTATAGTACATCGCAGACTGCACTGCATTCGAGTCAAAAAGCAAATTGAAGTAAATGCTTGCTTTCGAGTGGTGAAAGTATTTGAGTTAATAAAAATCGAAATTCGAAGTTTATTTCTGCGTCACTGTTTCGTGGAAAGGTTAGTTCCGTTGGTTTATTGGATACATTTCAAAACGCATACCCGGATTTCTGATGTAAAAACACATAACTGTATCGAAAGACGGATAACACTGATCTTGCGATCCTCACGATTAATGATCCGAATCCCATATTTCCCCTTCCACATCAAACGACATTCTTATATCCGTAATAGTCTACAAATCGATCAAAGGCACGTAAACTTACTCTCAATTATTTAGAATGGTTAGTATCACAAGTTTGAATTTATTTATTTATTTAGTTTTATTTAAGAAAGTGTAAAATAACACTGTAAATTTATTCTACCAAGTTTTAGCGATTTGCACATTAATTAAAAATCACATGGTATTACCTATAATTACCTGTTTTTATTAATATCGCAATTTTGGATTTGTCTTGTTTTAGAAAAAAGAATTGTATAAGACATTTCAAATTTTTTCCGTAAAAATTTCACAACACACAAATCGATTAAAGGCTCGTACTATTATCCTTAATTATTTTGCATGATTAATATCGCAATTTTGGATTTGTCTTGTTTTGGAAAAAAATATTGTATAAGACATTTCAAATTTTCTCCGTAAAAATTTCATAACACACAAATCGATTAAAGACTCGTGTTATTATCCTTAATTACTTTGCATGATTAATATCGCAATTTTTAAATTATTAAAAAAAGAAAGATATCGAATAAAATATTCCAAATTTATTTTGTTTAACTGGTATTTTTCAATTTAAACTCGTTCAAAAATTGTTTACTATGCTTTATCAGTTATGAAAATGAATTTACTATATTAGCTACATTACAAAGACACGTTATTTAATAGTTTAATAACACGAAACAGACCTACTCGTTCATTTCCTGGCAGATCTGGATTCCACACATGAAGAGTTGAAAATATTGCAAATTCGTCTTACTCGTTTAACAGTTGGATGATACTAAAGATACGTAGTAATGGACACTCGAAGTCGCTTAATGCTTTCCATTTTAAATTACAAGAGGAACAGTTGCTGTACAACTTTTTCACTGCCACAATCATCGATAAACGTGCTATAATTTCCGGTTCTTTCCAGACCAGTCCTTTTTGGATCCGCTTTAGAGCAGCTCCGTCTAATCATTCCGGATTTAAACACTCGGCACCTCTCTTAATCACGGAGCGCATTAATTTATTAATCAACTCTTTCACCGTTAATTAAAATACCGACGCTGGATACTAAACATTACGGTACATAATATTTACTCATGGCAATATGGTACATGGTCGTCTAACTAAACTTGTTATCCACAGGTCGAAACATCAGACGTAGCAATTAGCCACTCCGACGTTCGAAACCATCATTGGCGGATCAGCGAGGCGTAAACTGCTTAACACGAGGAGCCACGAGAAATGTTACTTTCGTTTTTCGCGGGGAAATCGTGTTTGGCCGAGCAACGGTTGCATGAGCTGCAGGAAAAGTGTCGTAAGGGTACGTATGCACGACGGTGGAACGAACAGGTTGGCAGGAAGAATTGAACGAATTCGTTAGAGGCGACGAACAAGTCACCGAGAATATTTAAAAAGCAAGAAAATAGCCAACTTTACGCAAATAACCAACTCTGGCATTGGATACCGGCCAGGGAAAACCGGCAGCGTCTATTAGTATTCCCCATGACGCTCGATGAGCAAGAATTCAGCTTCCAAGAAGAGCACGTCGATGCACGAGCATAATTGCATGCAGGAAAGCTGGTACACGGAAGGTGTACTTTCACGTGCACGAATCATTGCACGCAATTTGTTGATTCAGCGTTTCACGAAAAGCATCGATGCAGCGAGAGAGAAGACTGCGCCATTGAATCAAGGAGAAGCTCATTATAGAATAGGAAAAGAGGAACGCACGGATATCCTTTGGACCGTACGATGAAACGTTCACTGTATTACGTGATAATTCATTAACGAGGGAACTCTGATATTCTGTTTTTGTACAAATTTGTAAATATCGCGTATTCTGTATCGTGTAAAGCGGACACTCATAACGCATCAGAGTTTCCTTATGACGGTAGCTGAAACTCGCGTTTGTTTACATGGAAGAAGTAGCATCGCGAGCGTGCTCGAGTAGAGATTTTGCAACGTATCGAAATTAACGAGGAAGACCCAGCGAATTTCTTGGGTATTACCAACATTGGTCTGTCATTAGGCAATTGTTAATTATCGAGATTGCGATATTTATGATCGCAGAAAGCGACGAATCCTTATTGAAAACATGGCAACGGAGAGAGAGGAAGCAGTACCAGGATCACCTTGGTACGCGAAATTCTTCGAGTACTGGAGGAACAGAAATCGAGTGGGCCCAGGCAAGGTGGAGCTTCCCGACTGCGACTTCTTCATCGTGGGACCAAGACGCACTCTGAGGATCCTGAAACCGACTTTGAAGAGATACTACGAGAACACCAACGACAGGCCCGAATCCATCATCGACAATTTCTTCACTCGTTGGTCCAGGAGACCTCACTCTTCGGGCAACTGTAGATGCTCCTTTCGACAGTCGAAACGAGTGAGCACAGCCGAGGAACAGATCATCTCCGACGAGCTGAACAGGATCAGAACGAGCCTCTGCGAGGCGGACAAGAACGAGCGTGCGATCGAGGAGCTCGAGCAAAGAGTATCGGTGAATTTGCAGAAGCTGCAGGTTCCTGGGCCAGAGAACGAGCCTGCCAAGGTGGAGGATAAGAGTCTCACTGGGACAAACGTGATCGACGGTGTGAGTAACGATCAACAGGCAGAGGAGCAAACGATCAAGAACAAAATCGTGAAGGATTTGGAGAAATACATCAACGTGTTACTGGAAGAGATACTGGATGACACTGTGAAGTACGTAGCAGGCGCAAACGACACTCTCGTGAAGGATGTAAAGGGTCCCAAAAATAGGGACTGTCGTTCGTCGCGGCGATCGAGCGATAAGGAAGGAAGCCCGAACGATGGAAAAGCTTGCAAGGTGTCTCGTGATGACGAGGAATCGTTCAACGACATCAGTTTCTCGTTTCATGCCGAGAAAGGTGAGGGAAAGAAATCGAGCGAGGATGAAAACCAGACGACGTTGAACGACAGCAACGGAGGATACGTGAACCGCGGTTTCATAGGCTCGACGAACGATCCCGACTCGTTGGATTTCTACCTGAGACGATCGATCGGCACGGAAGTGACACTGGAGCAGCTGGATTGCATCGATTCCGGGATAAACAGCGTGGAAACGATCGAGTTCCAACCGGATCAGGAGCCGAGCCTGGAGCAATCCTTGTTGAAGATCATCGACGAGAAGCTCGGTAGAACGGCCCTGAGGAGCAGTTGGGAGGACTTGAGCACAGGTGGCCAAGGGAACGATGCTCAGGGCCAGCCGACAAAGAGAACGGACGGAATGGTGATTCCGAGAAGTGGCGAGCAGCTGAGCAACGATCGAGGCACAGAAAGATCGGAGGTCACCGGGAAGAATGATGCGGAAAGGAGCGAGCCTGAGGATTCGAGCGTTCAAACCGCCGGAGGAATCGATATCTCGACGGATAATCTCGAAAGCGCCGTGCCCGCGGTGGATCTGAAGGAGCTAGAGGAAACTGTTAACGAGCCCAGTTTCGAGAAACTGCGGCTGGAATTCAAGGACAACAGCAACGAGTCGTCCTTCAGGACCAAAAAGGGTAACGCGATCACGAAGCTGCGGGAAAAGTTCTACACGAATCCGGTCGACGAGCCCGACCGGTGTTCTTTGGAAAACAGCAGCTGGAACGAAAAGATGGGCACTTTCGAGATGAAGGAGGAAGTCGCGCCTATTGAACTCGAGGATTACAGGAAGAGTTGGCCCAATATAGAGGAGAATCCCACCTCTACCGGTTACGAACCCGGTCCTCGAGATTTGGTCACGTTTCGTAAGAACAGGAAGCCCATGATAGTGTTTCTCCATGGTTTTGGATCGTCAGCGGAGATCTTCGAGCATCAGCTACAATACTTCTCGGCTTTGGGTTACCCCTGCATCGCGCCGGAAATGCTGGGGCACGGAATGAGCTCTGCGCCTGGTGGCTCCAGGGATTACCATTTTAGCAAGCTGCTCAAGGATTTGGATACCATTCTGTGCCATTATGCCTTCAAGCCTGGACAGAAGTGCGTCCTGGTTGCGCACAATTATGGGTAAATATTTCTTTCTTCTTTTTCTTCCTTTTTTTACTTTTTGTTCTGTTTAATGTTTTGTTTCTTTGATGTTTTTAGTTGCTTTCCGTGTTTGGTTTGGTTTCACTTGACTTGGTGCTTTGTATGCAATGGCAGAATTTTTGCTATTTTATTTTGCGAATGATAGGATTATAGGATAATTACAGTGCTATATATTTGTTTCGACATCGCATTGATTTACGATGGTTTTAGTTGCTTTCCATGTTTAGTTTGGTTTCACTTGACTTGATGTTTTGAATGCAATGGCAAAATTTTTGCCATTTTATTTTGCGAATGATAGAATGGTCATTGGATTATAGGGTAATTACAGTGCTATATATTTGTCTCGATATCACATTGATTTGCTATCTTTATTAGTTTATCTTTTACTAGGCATTTATTATTGTATTTATCTTTTGCTAGGTATTTGCTAATTTAATCATTGATAATAATACTAGTCTCGGATATAAATATTCAGTTAAATTTATTGCGGATTATTTGCAATTAGTTATATACGAATTTAATTCTGAGGCATTTTCGACGCTACAGCAGATATTAATTTTAGATTTTGCTAGATTAAAACAAGTGGTTGGTTTAATTGGGATAGAGTGCAGCTTCACGGAGTATGTTCCTGAATAGCAGACAATTGTCGAGTGCATTCACGTATTACGGATGAAATCGTTTCATGGTCGAAATCATCAACAGTGCCTTTATAATGCCTTTGAGTAACAACTGTTTTACAATTATCTCTCCGAAACAAATTTTTCCACCAGCTGAACGTGCGGTTAATTCTACGTTTAATTGCTTTTTATTATCTACTTGATTCCGTTTGCTTAACGAGAATTCAAAAATTCTTCCAATTTCGTTACAGTTATTTTCTTGAAATTAATATTACATGCTATTTATTTTTAAAAAGTATATATATTTCTCAAATCTATTTGCCCCTTACACTATCATAAGTTTTCCACACTGAATCGCATAATGACAACGTATACCTGGCACAAAACGAAAATCATGGTCGAAATCATAGTCAAAAATGTTTACACAGTTTTATAGGGAATGAAATAAGTCTATAGTAGCGTAGTAAAATCAACCTTCAATTGGTTCAATTTTTTTGCTATAGTAGAATACGTATGATTTAATATAATTTAATATAATTTATATTTATTATCTGTTATTAACTACTAATTTTATTTTGTTATTAACTACTAATTTTATATCTAATTAATTTTATTAAATATTTTCCAAGCAAAAAAATACTTATATCCTGTGTTAGTAATTAAAATAAAATTAGTTATTTTCTTTTTCAATTTTAACATAAATGCAATAATTTGTGTTCGGTCAATTTACTATTGTACTTACGTCATCAGTTGAAGTAATATCTTTTCAATGTCAATTAATTTTCCACAATGAGACCCCTTTAATCAAGACATTTAGATGATATTCGACCCTTTGAACTAATTACGATTCGTCTTCCACTCTGCATCTATCAAAAGGGGAGCATAAAAATTCCGCCTGAAAACTATACCTCGAATAGCACTTGGCCGTTCTCGTTTCATCTGGTCCCCACTCTACCTGAGAACTACTTAGGAGCAACCTCCGTCCACGTTCATTGCCATTATAAAACTGTTTGACCGTGACTAGTAGAAACTCTTGGCCCGTAATCGCGTAACTTATCTTCGACCATTTAAAAGCATCTGGTGTATCGTAATTGCCGGGTACACGCGAGACAGTGGCCTTATCGGATATCTGAAGATTACAAATTCCTCGACGTTTGAATCGTTCGCGCATCCGAGTGCGCGATCAGCGCCGCAACGCGCTCACTGAAACGGCTAATGGCCGAAGCTGAACGCGCGTTTAATCCGCGTGCCTCGAGTTCTTCAAATTCGTCGGGATGATCGATTCATTTTTACAAGAGGACTCCACGCTCCGCAGGCCTTCTTTTCGCTTTGAGTTACCATCGTAGCTCGATGCTTCAACACTTTTTGCCCAGCCACGTCCTTTTCCCGAGAAAATCGCGACTCAGCTCGGACCGTGATGCCGCTGATGGTGAACATTCGCGTCGAGTGTGTTCCCTTGGCCGTCGAATCGTTGGGTTTTTATTATGGGAATGGAACGAATGGATTATAAAGGAATACATTATTTCGTGGAAGGTCCGAATGCGGTTTTATTCCGTTTGAATTTTGGCGGGAAAGTAGAGTGATTTGGTAAATAGGAGTGGTTTAGAACGTGGAACGAATGGACTATAGCGGAATAGATTATTTTGTGGAAGGTCCAAACGGGGTTCCGTTGCGTTTGAATTTTGGCGGGAAGTAGAGTGGTTTGGTGACTAGAGATGATTTAGAACATGCAACGAATGGATTATAGATAAATATAAATATAAAGTATTAAATATTTAATTATTAAATTATTAAATTATATAAATTATTATATATATTATTATATGAATTATTTTGGAGAAAATCCGAACGGGGTTTTGTTGCGTTTGAATTTTGGCGGGAAAGTAGATTGATTTTGGTGACTAGAGATAGTTTAGGACGTGGAACGAATGGATCAAGGGAATATCGAAGTGAAGATTATTTTCAGACTTATTGAGGGAAGGTTGAACAACGGGGTATTGTTGCGTTTGAATTTTGGTGGGAAAGTTCGGAGATTTTTCCTTTATGAAATCTGAGATTAAATTAATATTAGAAGTATCGACTTGCTATAGTATGTATGGATAACGGTAATTAAATCGATGCGATAAAAATGAATAGGTACCTAAAATAATAATTTTATTTGAACACGTGTTAGTGCAGGTTAATTTTACCAAAAGCATCAGTATATTTTTTATAACTACAGAAAATGACAAGTATGAAACCAGTTATTTGATCAGTCTGATGCATAATTTTGTTTATGGGTATTTGAGATGAATTTACTAATTGGACTTAAGGTTTATTTTTCCTTTTCCTTTTTTCTTTTTGGTGTGCTATGAAAGTGTAGTGATTATGTCATACGAATAATGTAAAATAGCCAGAGAGAATAAAGCTACCTCGTAAAGCTCCATTTTATCTATAATCTTGCAATTTTAAAATCGTATAAACACTATCCGTGGTACGTTATATAAATCTAATTTATAGGAATGATCGTATCCTTACCAGATTATCGTGTTTTCCATGAACTTTTCGATTTTTTCCAAGAGGTTATATGTAGCTTTACAACTTCTATTCAATAATTTTGCAATTTTCTACGAACTATAATCTCCTGTTCGCAATATGCTAAGATTCGATCGATCTCTAACGATTTTCCTCGATAAATTCTTTATTCTATTTTTGATGTACATAGATATTATATTTATTTATATATCACTTTATTTTTGGTAATTTCTAATATTAGTATTTAACTCATAATATTTTATAGGTTAAGAATGAACGTAATATTAGAACAAGTACTATATTATAGTACACGATATAATGTAATATTTAATATAATAATAATATAGTATACAGTGTAACGTAGAGCTATTATAATACATAAGAGGTATGGTAAAACCCTCTTGCGATCGAAGCCATATTTCAACTATCAAAAATAATCGAAAATCTTCTATTGTAGTATTTTTTCAGGTATTAATTAATTAATTAATACGAACGATAGCTTTTCAATCATTATTCAATTATTGATACGTACATGTTATAATTAATTTGTATAATAATAATATAGTATACAGTGTAACGTAGAGCTATTATAATACATAAGAGGTATGGTAAAACCCTCTTGCGATCGAAGCCATATTTCAACTATCAAAAATAATCGAAAATCTTCTATTGTAGTATTTTTTCAGGTATTAATTAATTAATTAATACGAACGATAGCTTTTCAATCATTATTCAATTACTGATACGTACATGTTATAATTAATTTGTATCGATATATTTTTCACTGGTTAATTAATTATTAATCATGAAGTAATTAATTATGAGCTAATTAATTAAGAACCAAGGAATCCTTGGTATCAAATCTTCAAGAACGACATACAAATCCCGATTTCTTTCGAATATATTACTTTTTCGAAATAAGTGAACAATATTCTTATCTTAATAATTTTCTTAATAATTTATCTATTATTATATTAATATTTTATAACTTATATATTATATAGTGCTATATGCTCTATTATTATTATTATATCAAAAACCATATTATATCATATACTGTAATTCAGTATTTAACCCATTACTGTATTTCTACTTAACCTATAAAATATTATAGGTTAATGAAAGACTTTCATTTGTGATCCCATTCATTGCCAGATGATTAACTGGAAGCATAATAATCGGAGATACATCAGGCATCGTATCATTTTATCTGACCAAAAATTGCTTCTTCTTTTCCCTCCTCATTCATCCCCTTACTACAATTTATAGGTAGGAGTAGTACACTTTACAGGGTGCGTGAAATATAGTTTCACCTGTTTTAATTATACGAGATGTTCAAATGTGTAAAATGTCCTGTAATCTTCTCCCCTGGTGCGACTGTAATTTCCAGTGGTGGCAACTTAGTAACTACAATATTGCGTACGTACATTAATTTATAGTGCGTAAGATGTCCCAGGAAACGCGGACAAGCTGTATCATTATGTACCATTATGCGTGTTTAACCTGCATACGTGCAAGTGTAAACCGTTTATCATGTTTGCAAACGTAAATCAGTTTCTCTACTCTTCTGCTGAAGTGGAACACATATATTAGCACGCGTTAGTGGCACGAAAATAAAAATGAATCATGTGAACTTAAACTTTGTTGCATTTGAAGAGGCCTAGTTCATGAACGCGTGAAGTCATTGGGAATAGAGCGATTGAATTGGGTGCTGTTAATTAAGTGAATATATCGTGATGAATATTTGAAAAATTTTTTTATGATTATCATGAAATTCAGTGCTATGGGAAAATTTATATAATTATTTTGTTATAATAAAATTTGTGTAATACAATTTTTCGTTATAAAATACTGGTTGTTAGTTTTTGTAATAGAATATATTCTAGTAAAATTTATGCAATTTTTTATTACAATATAATATATTATACAAATATTTGTATTATAATTATAATTATAATTAATACACTTACATTTCTATTTCAATCAGTTCCGTTTCATTTTAACATTAATTATGTCAGAAGCCTTATGCAGTAGTACGTTGGAAACTAAGGTAAAGATGTTATATACATACGCGTGATACAAATCTCTAATTATTCAAAGAATCTTATCCTTTCATCTATATCCTGTTACGATAACTGAAAAAAAAAAAGAAAACAACCGTACATTAAATCCAACTTTCTCTTTCGATTAAACTCGCCAACATAACCTCTTTCCCCCGTCTTACAATTAGACCCTTATCGTATACACGTAACTTTCGTTCAGCACGAAACACGTCGATTCTCATCATGTAGGAAAAAACCTTAAAAAAAACACGTGTCAATAAATTGTACTAAAAAAAAGAAGGAATTAAAACTAAAAATTCGATTTACCTCTATTCGTCGTGAAATTAATTTCGAACTCTGTTTCAGCGATTTGTAGATAAAACGACGACTTTAATTTCAACCTTATCCGACTGGCCGCATTTGCGTTTGAACGTTAACGCCGGAGCTAACGCATGCTGAGTCCAGTAGGAGATCATTTGAATTGCAAAGGCTGCGTCGTTATTGCGCACCTCTTGATCCGTATCAATTCGCTTTTGAAACTAGAGGATAGTCGTCCACGCTTGATCCCGCGTTTACATTTTTCACGCAACGATATGTTGTCGATTCTCAGCCGACGGCAGTGGAGAGCGAGAGTTGCGGAAGGTGGAGTGAGAGAAGAGAAGGAGTGGTGGAAGGAGAAGAAGCGGTGGAAGGAGAAGGAGTGGTGGAAGGAACAAGAGTGGGGAAGGAAGAGGTTGCACATATGGCTGGTGTATCGCGTGTATCTTATCAGAGCTTTACTCGTAAATCTGCGAGATGGCCTGTGTCAGAGATTCGCGCGAAACGCATCATGCATCTCGAGTTGTATTAGGAGAGCGTGTTAACGTTTTTGTTTCTTATCTGTCATCTTTTATGTTTCTATTCTTTCTTTTTATTTCGTGATATTCCTATACGATATGTGGAAAGTAAAATTTCTTATTATCACTGCATGTTCGCTATGTTCATAGGGTAACGAGTGCAACTTTTTCTTCGTTAATTACGATGACGTCAATTTATGGCAACGTTGAAAAGTTTTGAAAGTGGAATAATAAAGCAAATATAATGAAATATATAATTTTGCGAAAGTTGTTAAAGGATGAGGAATGTAGGAGAGCAAATAGATGATTTATATTTAAGATAGTTCATTTTTCCGATTCTGTGGATTATGAAGAATTAATTCTGTATATAAAATCCTGCTTCTCAAGAATATTTCTTTTTTTTTAAAGATATTTTACTTCAAAATTTTTACAGATACTTTTTATTATTGTATTTTTCCATTTCTCTACTGTATAATTTATGTAAATTACAAAATATTTTTTTTAAACATTTTTCTGTCTTCGATTGAATCGCAGCATTTGAATTGCAAATTTTTATGAAAGTAGTTACCTCGATATGACTAATAGTACTAACAATAAGTTATATCTCGAGTTTATTCATTGCTTATGAGATAATCGTTTGAATCACTGTGTCTTCAGATAAGGCTAGATACGACGGAGTTATCCGTCAGAACATGTTATTTCGGTTTTTTATTCAAAGTGAAAGCGATTTAATTAGTTAGTTTGATATAGTAGAATCTTTGTTATTCAAACTGTTATCGAAACATTTTACTAGTCAAATGCTTTACTATCTAAACGTTTTGGTATCTGAACCGTATATTTTCGTCATTACTTTGATATAAAATAAGTGCTACATGCATTAACACCTGGTGGGTAACGGTATCAGAGAAAACATGATACTAACTGCTGAAATATATTTTAAAAGCTATATATACAATGTGTATTGAAAGTAACTAAAAATTATAAATAATTAATGTAAGTAACAGACAAAATATTTATGCTACTATTTTTTATTTTTATTACTTTCATATAATTTTATATTTATATTTATTAATTTTTTAAAATATTTATTTTATAAATCAGCTATAATTTTTTATTAAAATATACCCTTTTCCTTGCTAAAAATATAACACTTAAATTCTTAAATAATTAAAAAAGTATATTTATATTAGATTTTATTTTAAAAATCTCGTATAAAATAATTATCATAGCAAAAGATAAATGTACACTGTATTTAGATACCAAAAACAAAAATTTAATTTCCATTTAATAATAGTATTAATGTAATTATACTTACAAAATCTTCCCATTAATAATTACTTCCAATTAATAATACTTCTAATTATATAGGAAACCAGTATCACATTCCAATTACAACATTCCATAAAAATACACTTTTATTCTTCACATTATACTTTCAAAGACGTAATATTCTTTTACCTTTATCGAACCTAACTCCCACCACACGCCATCTTCTGTTTACTAACTAATAATCGATCTCAGTCTTCGCTACAAACTTCAAATATAATCAGAATAACATAACCTGACTTTACTTATCCGTATAATATACGTAAATATCACAATAATCTATTTAGTTCTTCAACAGATTTTCGCGATGTTCCATAAAAGTTCGATGACTTTTTATTGTGCAAATCGCTAATGAATACGGCCACTCGGCTGGCAAGCACGACCTACACGTGACGATGCCGTAATAACGAGGCGAGTTCTATTAATTCTTCGTGCGACATTGCAACACAACATATAGGCCGCTGGCTACGTTCACGGACCACGTACAGTTCAATAGCCGTTCCTCGGTTTAGTTGCAAAAATTAACATCTATATCCTACACGGATTGCGGCAATGAGTTAAGACGGCAATAAACGCGTGGCGGACACGCGGTATGAATTATACAAAGGGACATTAACCATCGGATACATGTATAAATTAAACAGGATCTCTGGATTTTGTCAATGAGTGTTTTGGAAAGCTGTTAAGAGCCTCACAAAGGCGTCCCGGGGTGTTTGGGTGCTGGTCAATCTCATTGAAACAAGGAATCAATATATCATGCTGATTTTTTCCTCATTCTTTAATAATTTCTTGTTGGCCAGCTTTATACTGCAAGGCTATACATTGTAAAGGATGTATCTCTTTGAAGAATTCAGCTTGACATAAGCTGAAATAAGATAAGACTTGTACTTTTTGTTTAAGTTTGAAGGTGGATAATACTTACATGAATGATAAAAGTACATTTGGTACTTGAGGTACAAGGAACTTGCATTTCAGGATGATATTCCTTTTTTGAGGCTTTATGTTGCAAAGTTATGCATCGCAGAGAATGGGTCCTATTCAAGAATTCAAGTTAAGATGAGCTAGAATAAGATAGTATTTGCTTTTTTATTCAAGGTGGAAGTGGGAGAATATTTGTATGAATGATGAAAGTACATTTATTACTAGGGATGTAGGGGATGTATGTTTCAGTATGGTATTTTTTTTTGAGGCTTTATGCTACAAAGTTCTGCATCGCAGAGAATGGGTTTTCTTGAAGAATTCAGATTAAGATAAGCTTGGAATGGAATAGAATTTGCTTTTTTATTTAAGATTAAAATCAAGTAATATTTGTATAAATAATGAAAGTATATCTACATCTGGGTATGTGGAATATTTGTATTTCAAAATTGTTGTTTATATAAAAGGTAAAGATAAAAATAATTAAAATAAAAAATAGGAAAGAAAAATAAAATAAAAGACAAAATTTACTTTTATATTACAGAGGTTACAAATTAAATATAGATAATGTAATTTCTCCTTTCTATTTAGTTTTATTTTGCTTCAATCCATTAAAAAGAAAAAAAGAAAAAATTCATCATGTGCTGGAAAGTGTAAAATGATAAACATTTTTTCATTAAATAAATATATAATTATTTTAAATTATCTTACTTCCATAAATTAAATTGAAAAACTATGTAAATATATTTTATCTTCAATTAAATTAACCTCTATACATGTTAGAAAAATTCTGAAACTGAACTAGTTAATCAGGGTCAGATTAAAGAAAACGTGGCAACTTTCATAGTAGTAGAAAATATCTACGCACACGTGCAATAATAAAGCAACGATTGCATCATTTTTCATTCATTATAGATGCAGTTTTGCAGCTGCCTTGGCCTGTAAATACGACAGTAGTATCCATCAGCTAGTCCTGATATCAGGAGGTGGTCCAACACCTTTAGCAGCTCCCAGCACCGAAAGCGCCGGCCACTGTTGCCTCAGAGCAATATTGGCGCCTTTTTTAATGTGCGGCCTTCACAGAGATATATTATATTCTGCGAGAGGCCGTCAACACCCTTACTGCGGTCCTGAGCCGCCAGAACAATGGCCCTCGCACATGAAATACGTTTTGGACGGAATGGTCTGGCCGGAAGGAGACTACGTGTTCCATAGAAGGATATGTACGCCGACGCTTCTTATACATGGCTTAAGGGACAATAAAGTGTCGCTCGTGCAGGATAATTTTATAATTAAGAAAATTGTAAGTTTAGAAAAAATATAAAAATTAGTATTATTTTAGAATCGTACCTGAAAAAATGTTACTGTGAGTAGTGACTGATATTTTGTATAATTCTGTTTGTGTAATTGCTTAGTACTATGAAAAAAGATATAGTGGCAATATTTTCTTAGCACAATTTTATTGCAGGTTTAGACCACCTATTAATTTTAATTTCAATAGAATATTTTTCAATAGAATTCAATATGTACTTACTTATCAAAAATTTAATTGAAATGTATGTTTGTTAATCTAAATAAAAAAAAGAAGAAAAAGAAAATATTCAAATACAATTCCATATAAATTATGTATAATACTGTTTAATTGTATGGTGGAAATAATCTGTATACTGTATCTGTATACTATAATTATTCACAGTAAAAGCTTTTTCAGTTGTTTCATTAATATTAAAATGCTTATCTTCAGTTGGAGATAATTCAAAGTTTTGAATTGCTTAGAAAACATAGACAATTTAAAAATAACTTTTATTTTCTTTTTAGTATTAATTGTAATTGTTACGTTTCATATTTTAGACCATGATGAAAGCTTTCCTCGAAGCGATTCCAACTGCTGGTCATACTCCTATGACTGATTGCCCGGAGCAAATCAATCATATGATACACTGTTTTATAGACTTATGGAAGAACAAGAAATGGTAGCACTAAAATAAGTAGATACATGTGTTTACAAAAAGGACAATTTGTGAATCATGTTATTATATAATAAGATTATATTTAAATCAAGTTCTTTGTACGGGTATTTCACTCATTGTACATGAAAAAGAGAGAACAAAACGTTATGGTGCCTTATGCTTAATTTGCAGCGGCGAATTTAATGCATCGAAACAAAGATTAAAATCTATTGTACAGAATCTAGATTTTACACTGGTGAAAATTTGTTTGTATAGATCGCTATTTTATACAATTTAAATGAAGTAACCAAGTTTTTGTATAATTATTTTTTTATGAACTTTTGTCTAATGTCCTGTAGCTGAAAAAGTAACAGATAAGATACTCGCGTTTGTAAAGTTGTATAAGTCTGCAGAGTAACTGTGCCAAAACATGTACACGATTGTTAACTGTTCAAATTTACGAAGTTACAGAAAGGTTGTTTGTAAATGAAATTGTAAAATACAATGTAGAGGCTATATAGTAGCGTATAAGTTATACCAAAGATGATTTATACAGTGTTATTTTATGTATTCTACCGGAGTATAACTTATTCGTTTACAATAAAATTGTGTACAGATATTTGATTCGTTCATGATTACATTTATGAGTCTTATTCCACATGTTTCTTCGAACCACCTAATCAGTCATATGCGTGTTTGCATTCTTTTCGGTTATCATTTGATATCAACGATTTAGGAGTAACTTTTGATTGAGTGGATTTTCTGGAGATTTCATCCATTCCTTCTTTAATATTTGTTTTAATTGACTTAACCTCAGAGTAGGGTTTTGTTCTTTAATGACAGGCATCATTCTCTCCTCAAAGCTAGCATATGCAGCCTTTACACGTTTCTCTGGGTGACGATCAATTTCAGCTTCTTTTGTACTATAAAATACAAATGATAATAGCAAATAACTAATAAACTAATAAACAAATCGTTTTTATTTAAAATATTAGTACCATTCTGATTAAATTAGTTTTACCTTAAAACAGATAAAGCTTCATCTATTCCATGAGCAGTTTCTCCTTCGATTGTTAACCTATTCAAATTCTCCTCAATTGGTTTTTCTTCTTCTCTTTTTTTCGTTGCTGCTTGATTCCGCTTCTCTGTTGCAGCAACTATTTCTGCTCTAGTTATTTTAGCAACAGGTTGCTTACCGCCCACTTTTATAGTTGCCATTTCCTTTTCAAGCAGAGCTTTCACTTCTGCTTTCTTTTCCAATTGTTGTTGACGTTTTCTTTCAAATTCTTCCTATAAAGTGAATTATAAGTTGTTAAAGAGGTAATTTATTAGACATACAGATATGAAATATATAAATTTGATAACAAATAACGTTTAATAAATATGGATCAAATACCTGCTTTTGTTTCTTTTTCAACAACTGTTTGTCATCATCTTGCCAAGCTTTTTCTTCTGCTTCAAGAGCTTTTTTTGTATTTTCAGCTTCCTTCGCAGCTGCTTTTCTCGCTCGAGCAGCTACGGCTTTGCTATTTTCACCCGCGAATTTTTTGGGCATATTGACCTAAAAATATTATCATGCTTATAATAATAATATAATTAAAAAACTATTGGTAATAAGATTCCTTGTCACCATCTATTTATCTGTAAAAATATTATATAAATTGTAATATTTGCAATACTATCATAAACAAAACTCTGTAAAATTAAATGTCTTAATAATTCGCGGTAATAGAGTATTCCACTATAATTTGGTTGGTAGTACTGCTACACGTGCGCAGATGTATCAGTCAGTAAAGTTATAGAGGTTAAAGAATCATTAGAATCATCTTTAACTCCAGCTATTTAAATTCGAAATATGGTTCGAGTGATTTATAAATTATAAATGACGTGTTACTTTGGAAATACATATCAACGGAGAAAATTTTTGCAATATTTTACAAATACTTGTGAAATGTCGAAACAAGGATCAAAGAAAGCTGGAAAAAGTCAAAAATCTACGGTTAACGAGGTCAGTAAATAGTATAAATTGTAACTTACCGATTTCGGTTGAGAGTATTAATATTTACTGTGATCGAGATTTGATCACCTATTAAGAAAATAACATGACATTTTCTATGATACACCTTCTACTTATATTTAATACTACTAGGTGTCGCTTGCGAATTCACGAATGGCAACATTATATTTGCAACTCACTAGATGTTTTACAAAAGATGCCAATTTTTTTCGATTCTAGCAATATACTTTATTTTTTGAATTAAAAAATATATACGAATGCTATTATTATTTCAATAATGTTACAGGTATAACATATAATTAATATAGTAATTATGTCTCATATGATATTTCAAAGTGTATCAAAATTTTAAGTGACGTCGTATTTTTTTAAAATAATTTTAACAAACAGATGAATTTTAATAGGAATCTAAAGGACCAATAAGCATAGGTAAAGATGGAAATGTTATTATAAAAATACAAGCAAAACCTGGGGCGAAACATAATAATATAACAGGTGATGACATATCTGCAATTTTTAAAACCAAAGTAAAAGTAGGATATCAGATATATGTGAAGGTGTAAATTCCTTTGCAGATATTTCTGACGATGTTGTGGGCGTCGCAATATCCGCACCTCCGGTTGAAGGTGAAGCAAATACGGAACTCGTGAAATACTTAGCTTCCGTATTCGGACTAAGAAAGTCTGATGTATCGTTAGACAGAGTCAGTTCAATACTTATTAATCGTCTTTTTCCTTTATTCTCGATTTAAACTCTCATCTTTTATAGGGCTCGAAAAGTCGACAAAAAGTTGTAGTAGTGTCTGGAACCACAGTGGAAAAGGTTTTGGAAAAATTAAAGGGAGAGATGCGAACCTGAGAATAGCAACAATTTATTGTTAACGCATTTTTACCTTTTGTTATGCTAACAGCTGTTTCTTTTACGTTTGTATAATGTTATACTCTGTTCATTTTGATAAGTCATATTTACCGTGCATAAATATGGCAATCACGTCAATATAACATATTCAATTAATTTATACAATAAAAAAGTAATTTTATACAATTGTTACGTCGTAAAAGTAATTTGTTAATAACAATATTAATTTCAGCAATTAAATATATGTATACTAACGTAGCTTGCTAACGCATTCAAGCTTCCTTTCGGTGCATATATCGATTCTATAACGTACACTTGCTTATTCGTTAAAAATATTATTTACAATATTTTTATAAATATCTAAAATATTACAAATATTTTTCAACATATTTAAAATATTGTAAACAACATTTTGTAACTCATTATAGACATTTACAAGGTATTAACAGGAATTATATAAATCGCTAAATTTAAAAATCTAAAATTATTAAATTATAAAATAAGATCTGTCTTTTATATATTCTTTAAATTTAATTAAACGAATATCGCATAATGGAATGCAAAAATAATGTCTTCATCCGCCACATATAAGTACATTCTTATTCGTTGTCTCTATTGTTTTAATTCTTTTTAGTTAAACAAATATAAATACATCTGTTTATCTAGTTAAGTTTAATTCGAGATAAGTATTGTTATAAGCGTATTAACGGTTCCAAAGATTTGGAATATTTCCATAAATTTTCAACATCGTTGTCGCAGAAATATTTCCGAAATGGTGTTCTTCAAGATTTTTCATATCCGCATATTAAGGTCGTCGGTGAAAGTTAATTAAACCCTCACTCCTGAATCTCGAAAGCTTTATCGTCCAACCATGGTCGAAATATTGGCAATGTTGATGGGTAATGTGCTCCCCTTTTCGACGGTGCCGTTCCTGCTGGTGCACCTTCCTGCCTCAAGGGATAAGTGGCTAGGACTATTGGTATTTGCAGTTTAATCTCTTTGTCCAAACTCTTTGGGCTTATTACGAACTGTAACAAAATAATGTATTTCTTTCAGACATTATAAGACATCACCAAAAAAAAAAAAAAATCATAAGAATTAATAATCAAAAATTAAGTTATGCAATAAAATTTAAATATAAAGAATAATGTATTCCTTTTTCTCATTATAGAATACTATGAAAGATAATCACATAAATTAATAATCAAACAAATTATATACGTATAAAATGAGGAACATCAATTGTCATGTTATAACCTAAAATTCTGTCTTGGAACGATTTATCTTAAATATCTTAAAAATCCGTTTAAATATTATAATATTATAATGTTCTATCGCAATTTCAATATGCACAATCTAAATGGACAGTACTTTGTATGCATTTGAGATAAGTCGTCAAGTAACAAAAAATACTGCGACAGAATTCAAGAAAGTTGACTGACATTTAAGATTCATGTGCATTCCACGAAAGCACAAATTCTCAAAGATTAATGGTACAATGCATCTTCTCCGTTTCGCAATATTTTACCAACGAAAATTATTGAAATTCATTCGTAAATATTCCATTAAATAAGAATCCAAGAAATGTTATACGTAAACGATTAATTCCGATAAAAATAAAATAAAAATTAATCGATTCATAAAATTAATTCGAAAGTGGAATTTATTGCTCTCGAAACGACGAGTTTAAGCCTAACGAGTGACACTTTCATGGCTGAATAAAAAGGAGAAAGAGAGAAAAATGAAGAACCGTTGCAAAGAAAGTTAGTGCTTTCCGTAAATAGCCCAGGGCATGTTAAATTTCGCGGGAAAAAGACAAAGAGGCAAAGAAAGAAAGAGACAGAGCGAGCGAGATATATTAGACATGCTACGTATAACTGTAATTATTATAATAACGCTTGAAACGGCACTTCTACTTACATAGACGTGATAAAGAACGTTGATGAGGTGACAGCCTCGCAAATTAGTCGGTGGTAATGGTGGAACATACATCTGTTCGTTTAGCCATTCTTCGCCTTCGCCGGGACGAATTTTCCCTCTAGAAACGCTTGCCAGTTCTCGTGTCTCGCTGGCTAGCACTTTACCACGGCACAGGTACTGGATTGTTTCGGTCAAGGATGCTTTAGTCGATTTCATTGTCACCTGTTGAATCATTTCGATCTTGAATGTATACTTAAACGTGGATCTTGCATCAGTTGTACGCGAAGGAAAGAATAATAGCGGTGATCATTCGGCGGTTAGGTTATGTTGACGTCGGTATCGATTTCGTTGTCGCGATGTTATTGTGAAATTTTATGCAAAAGATGAAAACAATTATATTTTGATATTATAACACTGTGGTTATATCTTGTAACTAAAGTTAGATATTTACTTACGATTAGAATTAAAATACTAAGATATTGCGTTTCTTAAAATAAATATAATATAGATACGTATGTATGTACATATACATACGTTTCTTATTGAGTTTATAGAATAAGTTAGACGTTTCTGAATGTATTTGAGATAATTGATACGAACAGATAGTTCGCTGATTACTTTGAGTGATATATTATACTTCCAGCTTATGTTAATACTACAAATGTATAATTTAATCAATCATGTTAATTTATAATTGCGTCTAAGATATAATCGAATATTTTTGTAAGGTTATAAATCAAATTTAGTGTACGATTATTTCTTTGACACAAAGTTAGGAACAATATGAGATCTTTAGTGATAAAATTGTACAATATTTTTCCACACTGCATTCAGAAGAAAATGTTAGGATTAAAAAGCAATTTTTTCTTTTAAATTATATCATAATATAAATATATAAATATATCAAAAATCTTAATTTCCATTTATATTTGAAACAAAAAGAAAAGAAAAAATAAAGTGCATTCTTTTTCCCTGTCAAATGGATACTTCAATTAGTAATTCTATCAACTTGCTTTACATTAAATTCAAACCGAGGAGACATTCACACTTCGGAAGATATGTGATCGTATCATATTGTGCTGACCCCATTTCCACGATAGAAATTCTTTTGGTTAGCCATCGAATTGAAATACGATACATACTTTGCTTCGATTGCTGACTGTCGCTGAGATGCCGATAGTTTCACCGGGTACGTATCCGCCTCTGTCGAGGCTCACCCTACAGAATACAGGTCCTCCTGAGACACAGGATACTCCGACCCGTTGCTCGATTTCTTGTCTAGCCGGTTGCTGGAACAAACAAAAGAAATTTTATTCGGTACTTATTATCATCGCTATTATTAGGAAGAAAACATTTTTGAAAAATTTTACACACATATAATTCCTTCTTATTTTTTCGTTTTTCCCGCCTAATAGTCACTGTTATATAATTAATATAATGAAGAAATTTTCGAAAAATTTTACGCATTTAATCCTTTTTTATTTTTGTTTTCTCCTGTTGGTTATTGTTAATATCATGAAGAAATTTTGGAAAAATTTTACACATCTAATTCCTTCATAATTTTTATTTTATTTGATAGTTATTATTATGAAGATATTCTTGAAAAATTGTACATATATCTAATCCTTTCTTATTTTTCTCTTTTCTTTTTTGTTTAAAAATATGGAGTAATAAGTTTTAATGCAAATTAGAGTCATTTTGGAATGAGTTATATTTATAATGCTTCATTAGCTGAATATATGTAGAATGTTTATGATTGGAAAATGAGATTGCAAACAATTGAATTTCCTGAGTGCATAAACTAATTTACAGTAGCATCGTTTTATTTTAATAATTAAAGAATAAAAGTAATTTTCTCAGTAATAAATTTTAATAAATTCTTTTAGTAAATGCAAATTTCTTATTCAAGTAACTTATTGTATAAAAATATTTATTATAGTTGTGAGTTATCACCCAGTCTTACAATTTTTTCAATAGCTAATTAAATTAACGTTATCAATTTACTGTAATGTAACTTTGACAGAGGTAAAATATTAAAACATTGCATAGAATTTGAATGGAATAATTGTCAGTATGAACAATTAAATATGAAACATAGAAAAATTCAAGTAAAGATTCAAACTGAACTTATTTTGCAAATACACTCAATCTTTCTTAAATCAGAATTATAATTTGTATTAAGTGTGATTCAAAATTATGAGACAGAGGTGGTGGAAAAAAAGAATAATATTTCAAAATATCAGGAAGAAATTTTGAAAGTCTGTCTGATCTTATGAAATTGAAAACATTTACGATGAAATCATATTCCAATTGTTTTAAAACACGTGTTCCTGACGAAAACGTATACTTATATGGTTGATTATGGTCATGTGGAAATATAATTAATCAATATTAACGATAAGAGCACAGAATGTCACATATTTTCGTAAATTAAGTATAACATTTAAATTCACTTAATTAATTCCACAAATAATTCATTAAATCAATCTCCACGAAACATATTTATACGTATGTACATATACACATATATACATATATGTACATAAATAATAATACATTATGAAACAAATATACATGTTATAAATTAATACATAAATAGATACATGTATATAGATCTATCTACAAATTTCACGTAGTTTTAAAAATTTTTAAAAACTCATCGACAATATAAAAAAGCAATTCGAATATTTACTATTTAACCCTTTGCACTCGAGAGGCGCCTCTCAGTCGCCCTTAAATCAGTTTCTAAAGATGGATGTTAATTAATACATCAAATTTACAATTACCCAACGATGCGTGGAATATCGAAGTAAAATAATTCTACGTCATACATCGCATACGATTTCTTATTTACGATTTTAAAAATACCGTCAACCTTATGGCAGAAAGTCTGCAAATTACTATCTTCCTGTAACGAAAAAATCGCCGAGTGCAAAGGGCTAAATCTCTGCACTCTGAATTATTTTTCAATTTTGTTGCCAATAACTGCCCACTATTTTAAATATTTTATTTAAAATTTACTTCACAAGACAGTTCCTCGATTGATAATTATTTTAAAGAATTTTCTTTATCGATTATATTAAATATAGCTCTCAAATAATAATAATAAATAAAGAATCAAGAAACGTCGAGTGTAACTCGACACAGGAGTTCCTGTGATAGAAACTGAGATCGTATCACACTCGACAAAGCAGTGCAAAGGGTTAAATAAGAAAAAATTTCGAAAAAGAGATTTTTCAATGAATGTTCGAGATTTTTAATTCAGTTTTAACAATAAACGACAGTCACAAAAATATCGCAAATTCCATCACGATTGTTCTTAACAATCTCAAGGGATCAACACCTCTCTCTTTGTACTTTCGCAATCTTCGGATCTTTAAATTTCATATCTATTTCTCGAGTGGACAGGAGATCAATACTATCAGCTATCACTTCGAGACTTCTCGATTATGCAATGCAAGGCGTGTGCAATGAATGTGACTATACAGTTGGATCAACAATGCGGTCGCGTTCGGAGCTGAATGTCACGTGCCTACGTAATAATTATCTTATGTTACACGTTATCTGGCATGATGTGAATGCGTTTCTTCGGCCGCATAAACAAGTACGACTTCCCACAAAACTTTCAGAGAAACCTGTGCCTGGCCAGATGCTACTTCCTTCGCTCGTTATGGCAACCATTCCCAAATATCTAGAAATTTCTGAAATACCTTGCAATTGCTCTTGGCATTTGCGAACACTCTCGAGGAAGATCTGATTTAAAATGCAAAATGATGATGCAAAATCGCAAGAAGTGACACAGAAAGAAATGGAAATACGTATAAACACTGCATGAAAATATCGATAAAATATAACAGAAATTTGCAAATTTCTTCCAATTTACAATCGAGGAAGAAAATTCTACCAATCAAGGAAGAATTTCGAATATTTGTAAGACCCAGAAAGGAAAATAAAAACGAATACAAATATATATAAACATTATGTAAAATTTTAAACATTTGTGAGGCTCAGAAGTGAGGGAGAATTAAATAAAAATTTGAAAATGTTGATGAAATACGAAAAGAGATATTGAGAGTAACTTAACTCGAAATAAAATAAAACAAATATAACGAAAATAAAAATGTATATAGATATATATGAACAGTAGATAAAAGTGTTGATGAAATAGAAGAGAAAGGTTGGAAACAAACAAAGATTAAGAAGAGGGTGAAAATAGTTTAACAATTAGTCAAATTAACTAATTGCTATTATAATAAAAATTAATTGCTGTTACCGATTTACAAGCATGCGATAAATTGACAGGATTAAAAAGGATTAATTCCTTTCCATGAGCCAGAAACGATCAAAATTTTGGTACCGGAAGTCAAAAAATGGTACACGGTGAAAAATCGCGATCGCTTTCTACGTAGGTCAGTGACCAGTATCCAGAACTCGGTTATGTTAACACGTTAACTATCACCACGGATTCGATAAACCTGGCCAAAAGTGCCAAATCATTTGCATCGTTGATTATTCTGTATATTTTTACCAATATTCGATATTTTCGTCGGCTTCATACGTAATGTGTCAATAAATCAACATATGCGATACCAAGATTTCCTTTCCATTATCTATGCTACAAGAAGACAGGGAAACTTAGAAGAAAAACAGAATTTTCTTTAAGAATGGAAGAATTATAGTAGTCTTCCTAAGTCAGACACTTATTTATGAGTCGACTCCTGTTTGAAGTCAGTGTGTTCAATTTTTCATTTAGGAAAATTTGAAATGGAGGACGAATCCGTATTTTTTAAACATCGAAGATGGAGGACGTAAACTGAAACCTCTCATTTTTTAAATATTAAACGTGGAAGATGTAAACTAAGATTCTCAATTTTTTAAATAGAGATTCGTCAAAGATAAAAGACAGCAATTGGGGTTTTACGCTTTTCAAACATCAGAAACATTAAAATTCTCCATTTTTTAAATAGAGATTTGTCAAAGATAAAAGACACGAATTAGGGTTTCGCAATTTTCAAACGTGGAAGACACTAACATCCTCCATTTCTTAAATAGAGATTTATCAAAAATAAAAAACAAGAATTGGGGTTTTGCTATTTGCAAACATCAAAGATATTAAGATTCTTCATTCTTTAATTAAAAATTCGTCAAAGGTAAAAGACACAAATTGGGGTTTGCAATTTTCAATCATCAAAGACAATAAGACCTTCCATTATTTAAATAGGGATTTGTCAAAGATAAAAATAAAAGATAGAAATTTTGATTTTTCAATTTTAAACGTCAAGAATCCAAGGCGACAATTTCCAAGCATCAAAGACACAAAACAACAGAATTCGCACGAAATTAAATAAATAAATAAATCTCGACAAAAATATTTCATCCAATATTATACTTATATTGCTTCAAACAGGTATACGCGTGACGATAAAATTTCACGCGTCTCTGCAAATTCTACGAGAAACCAGGTCCCATCCGAGCTTTACGATCGGTAAACTATCAACGATGTTTTAATAACACGTACGGATATAAATACGAAAACGAACGCTCTCATTTACCTTCATTCATCCACCTGTTTTCTTTTCCCTTTCGAGGAGTACCATCGGAGGATTTTATCGTTTAACGGTCCGTGAAACGCGCCAAGTCGTTGAGAATCGCGTAATATCATTTCAATCTGACTGTGACTAATTTCTGTGTTATTGCATTAATCCCCGCATAATTTGCACGATGACTCGAGCGATAAGTACGATACTGTTTTATATCATTTTTATTACCGGCTGAAGGATCGAACGATGTATGAAGAATCCTGGCACCGGAGGATGGATCGGTCTTTCGTTTCCCTCGTTAGAGAGAAGCGGCTTTAAACGACGATTAGAAATCGTGCGGCCTTGTTGCGTGCACGCAAAATTGCAAATTAAATCGTTACACGTGCAATGGCACGTCCAGTGTGATCGCAATCGTAATAAAATCAGCCGAGCGACGATGTTCCGCGATTTAGGATGCGCGTGTCAGGGTTCGTCCGCAATTGCACGCTTGGGGTAGAAAGCGTAAGCCGAATAATCATGCTCAAAACAAGCACCATCGTCGCTGTGAAATAGCAGAGTGCATGAATCACGGTTCATTTGCGGATAAACATGCTGCGAATAAATTTGAATACAGCACTATGGTAGAGACTCGAATATGTGGTATGAATTTGCGTTAGAAATATATGATAGAACATTTGAAAATAAATTTAAATAAATACGCCACTGTGTTGTAAATTTCGATACGATTTTGGCAAATACTATGCTGAAGATAAATTGCAGCGCGACACCATTTAATAAATATAGGGGTGTCCATGTGTTATAATATGTACCGTTTAGTATTATATGTATGTAATAATATATATATAATGTATTATACGGTATTATAATATATACCGTTTTGATATTTTAATATTATTAAATCTGATTAAACGGTAAGCTAAATGGTAACTTTTCCGGAGATATTTTCAATTGTTAAGAATTGCAAATTTATCTTGCAAATATTCCTGTTAGAGTGGCGATTGCTTTGTTTCCCTTATTTTGATAAGATTATATAACATACTCCAATGTTTGAAACATGTATCCGAATATATGTAGTAAAGCAGATAGCATGTATTTTTCAGCAGTTATTGATTAATTATAACGATATGATTTCGAGACATCAAGAGCAGGTAAACATGCTGATGAACGTAAATACGATTTTATAAAACAATTAAATTGCTTCTGCATACATAGATAATGGTAATTAAACGTGATACTTTATGTCAATATTAACTGATTGATATTCAAGAATAGTAAATTACTAAATATAAAATAAACGATGCAATAAAATGCATAAAAATATGAAGCTCTGTCCAATCTTTTAAATTTCTACATATCCTCTACATCTCGAAAGCAAGAAAGCAACAAGAAGATATTCAAGACCTCTATTCTTCGCTATCAACTGAAAATCTATGCCAGAATAATAATTTTATAACAATATCCTATTCGATACTTTAAATTCCTATATACTTCCTAGCCTCCTTCAACAAAAGTATTCTGTCTAATGCTTTAACTTTCTACCCATTTCCGATACTTGAGAAAAAGTATATAAAATTCAAGGTTTCTGTGAATCTCTGGTGATTCGCACTGTGTACGCTACATCCAATGCAATCCTTATCGAATGGATCTTCATTTTCCCAACTGCAGAAGCATGAATGATTCGGAACCGCTCAGCGTGGCCTATCTAACAACAATTTCCCACAATGTGTGCACCTAACAGCCGGCGTTTTATTAATTAAAAACGCAGCAACAATAACGAGCAAACACGTCTATTAGGATGTTTCGCCTGAGCGCGGGCACGATGATCGTTAGCGATGGGAACCTGGTGGATCGGCATAAATGGTACCCCGGCTAGTCTCTTTATCCAAACTCAATCGCTTTCTAATAAGGGAACGTATAAATATGAAATACGAGATTCATCCATAATGCAAGCAGAGAAAGATAGAGAGGTGCAGAGAGACTTACTGCCAGGATCGGCGGTTCTAGATTCAGATCGATGGGGTTCATCACGATGAAGACTTGCTGATTCTTGTGCGTCAGTCCGCCGGGCTCCCGAAGTGCAGCCTTGCAATAATATTGCACCCAGCCGTGTTTGCCCAGGAAAGTAGACGGTAGGCCCAGGGGCAGGCCTAATTTGAATGGAAAGCTGTGGATCCCCGGCGATAGCAGCGACGGTCCCTCTCCTGGATTCCGGCGTCGTACCCGTCAGTAACAGAGAAAGAAGAAGAACAGTTTTGACATTATTATGCGTCGCGTGGTTCGCAGGTGCGCCGTTTGCACCAGGAAAATTTGTACAATAGGATTCGGCTATGGAATTCCGTGCTTTTCATACTTACAGGGCTTCGTAGCCCTGTGAATCGAATCGACTGACTTTACACCTTTCGGGTTGTAAAAATAATTTCAGCTTCCACGTTAAACCTACCACGTTAAACGGCCAAATGGAAACCGGTGAATGGAAATCGGACAGCTTAAAAATGGAATAAAAACGGGGGACATTGGAAAAATAATTATACAATGATACATTAACCCTTTGCTTCGTTCGTTAATATTTAACGGTGTGATAATAATGATAATAATAACAACAATAGCAACAACAGCAGCAACAACATCAATTAAATAAGAAATATCTTAAGTTTTTCAAGTTTATTAATATTTGTAGTAAAAATTAGTTTCAATAGAATATGAAAAATTGTTTAATTTATGAATATTTAATAAGAAAAATAGTTTTAATTACCGAAGCTCATTAATATTCAATACAATATTTCTTCGTGACGATTTTCGTCCCACAGTGATTCAAAAATTGCTGAAAAATCATACATTTTTCCTTACTAGTTATTATTTATTAATTGGTAAATGTAATAAGTACAGAGACAATCTACCACTTTCTTACAGAATCAGAAATTATTTACCCTTTACACTCGAGAGGCACCCTTCAGTGGAAATTTGATAAAATTTCGAAGCTCGATGTTAATTAATGTATCAAATTTAAAATAATGTAACAGTGTACAAGGTATCGAAATTAAATAATTCTACGTGTTAATTATTATACGATTTCTTATTTACTGTTCAAGAAATATCATCAGCTTAATAGCACAAAATATTCCAACTCGTACCCTTCTTTAATTAAAAAAGTCGAGTGCAAAGGGTTAAAAGAAAAATTGCTAAGATGATGGGATTGAATGGAGGATTTTTAATGAACGTTTTAAGAACTGTGGTTTGGCTGTGGTAGGTTCACAGTGTTAAGAAGGTAATAATTTGACAGGATTTGCCATGCGAGTTTTATGGGATGTTCTCAACGGATTGTAATTTATGGGAATTTTTATTATAATGATATTTGATTCGAGGAAATTTGATTTGGTCATATTGTTTGCGTTCAAGATTTTTTAGTCGACGATACGCCGTTTTATTTTAATGACCTAAACGTTTGTGGCATTCTAGTCACTGATGAGCATCGTGGTTCCGGTCGTAGCTGACCAATGTGGCAATCCAAGCGTTAAATTATCACGTTTTTGGTATTGAAATTATTTTCACGAGTGGTTTTTGCATTTTGATGTACCTGTTCATTATTTTTCTCGTGTGATTCAATAGGTAAATATGTACTATATATACTAGGTACAGGTAATTAGTGGTATATATATGCTATATTTAATTATAGATAGTTGGTAGTCCTAGTGTTAAGATCGTACTGCAATTTTACATGAACTGAAACTATTTATTCAGATAGCGTAATTTCATGTTTTATTTTGAATATGATAATATTGTGCTATTGTATGAAGATTGGTTCATATGAAGTTGAAAAAAAGTCCTGGCTATTTCATCCTACTTTAAAAATTATATTACTATATATTATAATATAATATAAAAATATTAATATAATAAAATAATATAAAATAATAATATAATAATATAAAAATAAACTTTACTGTAAAAGTTTTTACTTTATTGTAAAATTATACTACTATAAAAGTTATAAACAAAATTATACTACTAACATTTTGAAATTGCACATTGAAATTTTATATTTTTAGCAATATTTATAACTTTCACGTGTTAAATGGAAATGAAAAAATATTATTTTACGAAAAAAAAATTTTCTTAAAGGTATAAAGTTATCTAAAAATTATTTTTGGCAGAATAAATTCTATCGGGCTGTATTTTATTACGCCAATTTTGTTATCGTGTCAGTTATTTTCGTAACTGTTCTGCAGTTGCAGTTTCCATAAAATAAAGGAAAATAAATAAAAGCAGTTGTTAAAACAATCCAGGCTTTGCCAATTAATTTTAACGTATGTTTCAATGTAATGACTCGCGTCATTTGCAAATGAAAATAGTGTGATTATACTTGGGAAACATGATCTCAGAAGGCAAACAATTAAATTAATCCTTTTATTCTTCTTATGAATTTATCTCTGAAGTTGAGCTATCTGTTTAGCAACAGTCTTCTGAAACATTATTTGAGAATACATTAAAGCTGAATAACAAATTATGATAACTCTGATATGAATATTTGTACTCTCACTACCTTATGAAATTAATTCAAAATTATATTCATCAAGATGATGATGAATCCACCAGGTCATCTAAAAGTTCATCTTTTTATTCAATATTTGTGAACATTAAAAGCTACCGTTAAAAATTCCATTCGCAACATATACTATATACGTATAATAATTATAATCTATATTTACATATATAAATATTTCTAATTTATGTAACTAATAATTTCAGTAATAATTCATACGTTCATATTGATCACGTATAAGTAGATAATAATTGTATATAAATAATAACGTTATAGGTAATAAAAATTCTGTTGGAAATTTATATTTAACAAAAAAAAAAATAAGTTATGCACCAATACATTTTAGCTATTGTTATAGTTATTAGAGCAAACTCGTCCTCCATTTATTAAGATGTTTCTGGCTTATCATCCAAGACTTATTATTCGAACGTACATTGTGCCCGTTTCGTCTTAACGGCTACATTAAGTATACCGTAATACAGTTTCTTTTCATTACCTGGCTCGCCCAGCAATCTCATACGAAAATCTATATAGTTTTCTTTGTCGTAAACCCTCTCGGCGCGTTGACTGCGTACACGCACCACTCCTTCGCCGATCACATGAAAATGCAACCCTGAAACGCTGCGACACACCGAACATGTCATTACAATTTTATTACACCTATGCGATAAATTTGACGAATGTAATATAAATCGGAATAATATTCGACGAATTTCTTTCGATGCCAAATATCGTATCATGTAATTAAAATTACAAATTAAAATCAAGGCAAGCCAAAATTAATGATAGTTGAATTAGCGAAATATCAAAGGTAATAAATAATTTTTAAAAGTAAAATTGAACATATGGTCTGTTACGTAATATATGATGCCATTAGTAATGCAATGAGTAGTAAATAATGGGTAAATCAAAAGTGAGAGAAACTTGTTTTCATGCTATACATGTAAGCATCATGTACATTACACTTTCTAGAGTAGTTAATATTGTTGACATCTTGGAAATTATTACGTTAAATTATCATCAGGAGGCGCTACGTGTAAAGTGGAGTCTGATTCCGAGTCTATAATTGCATTGAAATATTGTACATAAAACAACGTGTATTGCGTGATACACGTATATGTTCATTAACGTATGTAAATAATTTTTAAACACTTATTTAGTCAATCACGTTACTACCGCTAGAAACATCGTAATTTACATTGTGAAAGTTTCAGCGGCTACATCAGAAGACGTTACGCGGACTAGTCACGATTAAGGCAAATCTGACGAAATGCAATTATTTAACGTAATATATTCACTTTCACGCATTTTCTCGTATCTACCAAGCATCGAGAATATTAACACGTGAAACCCGTTTAAATCGGGAATAGCTCACTGCGAATTAACTTTTTATTAATTGTATCGTTTTATCTACGTTTTTTCGACTAATAATGGGATTATTCCATTATCATAACCTCTTCTAAATAATCACCAAGTGACAACAAGATATTTCACTTTATCTACTTAACACCTTTCTAACGATATTTCCTTTAAGAGTTTCATTCATTCTTTCCTAATTTTTCTATGAATAATTTCATAAAAATATATAAAAGTATTACATGTCATATTTCGCGGGAATTCTTATACGCATACTTACTATGCTTCATCGTCCAACTCGATAAGCACCCGGCCGGACAAAAAATGGCCGGGAAAATATAAGAGGTTGGTATTGTTGAAAAGTATCAAAAACTTGCTCAGCTTTCGCGTCATGGTTTCATGCAACACGATGTTCAAGGATCGGCGACAAGAATGACAGATCACGCTCGCGTCAGAACGGCTTCGCGGCAACTGATTATGCACCAAGTCGTCGCGGGCACAAAATTTTTTCCAACGGGGACCGCAGGCATGTCAGTGAGAATCACTGGCATACACTGGATCGCACCAGCAGCACGCCCATAACCTTGCACACGCTACGTTTCTCTCTTTGGAACGTCACAGGAACCTCACTCAGCCAGCCACGCTTTTCTCGATTGAACAATCGCGTTCTTGCACATTTTCCGCGTACTGTTCGTAACAATGTTTCGAACAGTTAAGTCAGTCGCAGCTTTGAAACATAGACACTTCGTGGACTCGACGGAAACGTTGATAACAATGCTCCTACGCTAGTATCCGTCAAACTTTTTGCCGCAGGCTCAAGGAGCCCGTCTCTTCCTGCCCATTCTTGGAGCTGTGTTCACTTTCGCTCCCCTACCTCTGTCGTTGTTTCCACCTCCAACCAACGTAATTACCTGCTTTCCTCCACCGACCAATGAAGAACCGCTTCCAGTTTCTTGTGCACCGAGTCCGGATTAGATCGTCCCGATTTGCCGCGTTGGTGTATTACCTTGCTAAGCGGACTGTACTCGCGGTCGATGAATAAAATCGATAAGGTTCGTCTGGCACGGTGCATCGTGGATCGTTTCCTATAACCCGTGGCCAGATGCGCTCAGCCGATAAGGTCGGTACGGGGCACGAATTCATTGGAAAATCAACTGCCAATGAGAGCTATATAGGTGGAATTTTGCGTACATAATATTAGGGTATTATATGGAAATACTCATGAGATACTTATTCATATGATAGATTCTTGGATTAATTATTAAAATGCGCGTTTTAGTATGCATAGATTTGTAATATGTTATGCAGCATTTGATATTTCCCACCATGCTAACGATTTAACGCGATTGATTTAGTTTAGATCTAAACATACCTTTTGTTTGACTTCGTGATCCTTTTTCAGACTTTATTTGTATTTAGCAAGTTCTTTCATATTTTATCTGAACATTATAACATGCAAATTATATACAAAGTTCTTTCGTGTAACTTTAAAATGTGGATATAATTTATGTATTTAATTTTTATAATTTAGTTAAAGGATTAACATGATATAAATAAAAAGACTTTAAATTCTTATAAAATTTTATTTCTATCTTGAAAACGTTTATAATATGTAAGTCCTTAAATTATCGTTTTCATAGGATATTTAAATCACACATGCAGTGCCCTCGTGTGGACGCGGTAGAAAATATTCCAATAGCACGTAGTTGCGCGCTACCACTTGCAACGTAACAGTCGTTATGGAGAAGAAAGTGATAAATCAAAAAGAATATTTGAAGAAATACTTATCTTCGGGAGATGGCGATGATAAGAAGAAAAAGAAAAAGAAAAAGATGAAATCGGGAGCAAAAACGTAAGTTTTAATTTGCAAACATTGTAGGTTATTTCGACAGTTTCAACAGGAAGCCCTTGTGTTTTAGGTTATAGTAATTCTTTCACACATCTTGGATATTTAGGTCGAAATATTTTAAATATTTGAAAATATGATGAATAATGAAAAGAACATATTGTATTTATTGCTATTTTCTTAATTCAATGTTATATTAATACGGAAGATATGTTTAAATGTGAAAAGGAATTTCAACATTTTGGTTTTTAGACCAAATTGTACAATCGATGATCGATTTTAACAACTGTAGCGAATAATAAACTATTTTCGAACACTATTCGTTTCTTTGCACAAATTTTAAGATATATTTTGCAGAGTAAAAATCATTGATGATGACATAGACCTGAAGAATATGAGACCAATGGAAGAGAATGAATTTGATATTTTCATCAATGCAGAAGATGCGCCTCAAATTGCTGGTGTAGTAGACGAACGTGGACCTGTTGATTTCACAGACAAAAGAAGATGGAAAATAATAGCTGATGATGAGGGTGGTGACTTAACTGTTAGTAGTATAGTTAAAGAAACTAAACAATTTAAACAAGTTAATGATATTTCTGATGAGTTAAGCCCACCAAGAAAATCAAAGAAATATTCAGACGTCGATTTGTCTCCTCCAAGAATATCTAAAAAGACAAAGGATAAAATAAATACAAAAGCAAAAAGGGATGAGGATAGTGATCTAAGTCCACCTAGAATAAAATCTAAGAATCATATTAGTTCTAAACATAAATCTTTACAAAGTGATAGTGATAGTGACAGCAGCCAAGCAACAGACGTTTCATCTCATAAAATTAAAAAAAGGACAAGAAAGAATAAGAAAGCATGTGATGATTCTGATTTAAGTCCACCTAGAAGGTGGACTAAAGATTATGATTCAGATTTAAGTCCACCAAGGAAAAGTAAAAAGCATAAATCAAAGAAAGGTATGAAGCATAAAGACATAAATGATTTAAAATTGAGGCCTTCTAGAAAAGATAGAAAAGATTCTGATTCAGATATAAATATTTCTAGAAGAAATAGAAAAGATTCTGATTCAGATATGAGTCTTTTTCGAAAGAATAGAAAAGATTCAGATTCAGATTTGAGTCTAGAAAGAAAAAATAAAACTTATGAATCAGATCTAAGTCCACCAAGAAAAAGTAAGAAACATAAGCATAGAACAAAAGATAGTGATTCCGAGTTTAGTCCACCTAGGAGAAAGTATGAAAGAGATGTAAATGTTCATATGAGTTCCAAACGCAAAGATAGAAATGATGAATCAGATTACAGTCTAGCATGGCAAAGTAAGAAAGATAGAAATTTATATTTCGAGACCAAAAGAAATAAATATGATAACACATTAAAAGAAAGTTCACCAAGGCAACATAAATACAGGCACGAGAAAACAGGAAAGAATAGAATTGATAAACATTCCGAGATGAACACTTGGTTCGACAAGAGACATTATGATTCAGATATGACTCCACCTTGTAAAAGAAATAGGGATGTAGACATAAGTCCAAATAGATTTAGAAAAAGTGACAAAGATTTCTATAAGAACAAATCAGGCAAATATAATAAGTATGATAATAATAAGTATAATCATGATCCAAGATATTCACATAGAGAAAATTCCTATGTTAAGGAAAAGAAATCGAAATACGGAGATATCAATGAAGATAATAATGAAACACGGATGAAGAAAACATTAGATGGAAAAACGGCAGGCTTACAAAATGCAAGAGCACTGCGAGAAGAAACAGAGGCATACAAGAAACGAGAAGCGGAACATTTCAGTAAGGTATTTAAGAAAATTCCATTCCTTCTTTTCCTTAATATTATTTTATAATAAAATTATAAAACTGTTTTCTACAGCTTAGTAAAGAAGTCACGGGTGTTGGTCTGCCAGCGGTTATACGAGATACTAAGACAGGTAGAAAACGTAATTTAGAAGCAGAAGCAATAGAAGAGCGCGAAAAGCAGAAGCAACAAGCAGAAATGGACGAAAAATATGCTAAATGGGGAAGAGGGTAAGTGATACGGAATTTAGTTATTGAATTAAAATTTGTATATTTGTGGCAAAATTTGGACGAAACTTTTTTATTTTATCAGCTTAAAACAAGTCGAAGATCATCAAGAAAAGTTAAAAGACGATCTTTATGAAATGAGTAAACCTTTAGCGAGATATGCAGATGACGTTGATTTGGACAAGAGACTTAGGGAACAAGAAAGAGAAGGTGACCCTATGTTAGAATACATCAAACAAAAACAAATAAAAGAAGGAAAGAGGAAACCAGGTGAAGCAGTATATACAATATTAGATTAATTCTAGGTTACAAATACTAATATTTATCATTCCGTTATAATTAATGTACAATATTTTATTTATAAAAATATATGAACAATATTTTCAGATCGACCCAAATATGAAGGATCATTTATGCCAAATCGTTTTGGTATTAAACCTGGTCATAGGTGGGATGGAGTTGACAGGAGTAATGGCTACGAAAAACGATGGTTTGAAGCGCAAAATGCAAGGGTAGCACGGCAAGAAGAAGCTTATAAATGGAGCACTTCTGACATGTAAAATGTACGCGTTTCTTCATTTTTTTCTTTTTTTTCCTTTATGTACAATACTTGCTATTACATGGTTAAGAATACATTGTAATTGTGAACTAAACAATCGAAAATATACAGGGTGTCCAATTTTAATTTGTGATTACAAATTATTAACATCAGTTTAAAGCCGCATATGACCCTTTACATGAAATCATTTACTTTTAGATATATTGTTTATATTAAAACCCATTGATTTTGCAGATAGTTAACCTCAAATATTGTAAAATGATTTTGGTACATGTACATACACTCACATTTTTTATTTGAAATATTACTTGAGACTCTTGCTCAGTTTATTTATTTACAATATATTTAAAAGAGAAACACAAGTATACGTTTATAATTATAGCAATAATTTTCAGAATTTAAAAGAATTTAGTGTTCACCTCATTCTTTCAGTTTACAAACTTTTCAATAAAGTCATACGTGATATGATTCTGTTATATATTTCTACAATATTGGAATTTGAAATATATACAAAGTTAATGATTTTTAAATACACATATATTCGAAATTGTAAAATATAATTTTTATTATCTTGAATAAACATATTTAAAAATTTGTTAATAATCATTGCTATATCTTAACCTTAACATTTTTTGTATCGG